ATAATAAATGTTCCAATTAATATTATTGTTTTCATGGCAGTTCTTCTGATGCTGGCCTCCCAAAGGATCGAGACCTTCATCGGCGGCTGGTTCTTTGCGGACTCCTCGGGAATGCTCAACAAAGTCGAGGAGTTGCCCACGAAGCGAGGAGCCAAGCCGACCTTCATCGAGTGGCTAATCCTGGCCTGGGTCAGCGGCCTCATCTGGAGCGAGGTGAAGCAGCTGTGGGATGTGGGTCTGCAGGAGTATCTCAACGATATGTGGAATGTGATCGACTTTGTCACGAACTCCTTATACGTGGCCACGGTGGCCCTGCGAGTCGTATCCTTTTTTCAGGTAAATTAAATTACCAATGTGTAGTTTTTAGTTTCTGTTTATAAATATTTGTTATTTATTATTGTATTACAGGTGCAAAAGGAGATGATATACAACTCGCATGCCACAGATCTGCCGCGCGAGCGATGGGACGCCTGGGATCCGATGCTGATATCGGAGGGCCTGTTCAGTGCGGCGAACATTTTCAGTAGCCTCAAGCTGGTTTATATATTCTCGGTGAATCCGCATCTGGGGCCACTGCAGGTGTCGCTGTCCCGGATGGTGATGGACATCATGAAGTTCTTCTTTTTATATGTCCTCGTCCTTTTCGCTTTCGGAAGTGGTCTCAACCAGCTGCTTTGGTTAGTTAATAACAGAAATAGAGAAAAAACTATCTTATAAATTGTAGATCTTGTAAAGACCAAACATATATTTAGAATTGACAATATTGTTTTAAATTTATTTACTTTATTTTTCATTTACCTTACTTACCTTAGGACCTAAGTGCCTTAAATTATGTTTTATTTTTAACAATTGTTTTTTAGGTACTACGCTGATCTGGAAAAGAAACGTTGTCCTGAGGTTTCACCCATGAGTGCTCTTCTTAACATGAATGGTACAAATGACCCAAATGCGTGTATTGTGTGGCGCAGGTTCTCCAAGTAAGTTAATTATACATTAATTAAATAAGTTTTCAATTAATTTTTTTTCAGTTTATTTGAGACAACGCAAACTCTTTTCTGGGCCGTCTTCGGCCTGATAGATTTGGACAGCTTTGAGTTGGATGGCATTAAAATCTTCACCAGATTCTGGGGCATGCTGATGTTTGGCACTTATTCGGTTATTAATATTGTGGTACTACTCAACCTGCTCATTGCCATGATGAATCATTCGTATCAACTGATTTCGGTGGGTGTTTTGCATTTTTTTAACCTACCTGTTCATAAACCAAAACAATGTACTCTTATTTGACTTACTAAGGAACGTGCTGATGTCGAGTGGAAGTTTGCTCGTTCAAAACTGTGGATTAGCTACTTTGAGGAGGGCGGAACCTGCCCGCCGCCTTTTAACATAATACCGACTCCAAAGTCGATTTGGTATGGAATTGGTTGGATGCGGCGCGTTTTCTGCAGCGGATCTTCTGCCGCCCGACGGGAGCACCTAAAGACAATAAGAGTAAGTCTTTGGACTTCTTATTGAAATTCTATAATTGAAAAATTAGCTTAATTAAAATACTTAAGATTTTTAATTTGTTCTTGAAATAACCCTTCCTATTTCCAACCTCCTACAGCGTAAGGCACAGCAGGCCAGTGATCGGGACTTCAAGTACCAGCAGATAATGCGGAACCTGGTCAGGCGGTATGTAACCGTGGAGCAACGGAAGGCCGAATCCCAGGGCGTCACCGAGGACGATGTGAACGAGATCAAGCAGGATATATCCGCCTTTCGGTGCGAATTGGTGGAAATACTCAAGAACAGCGGCATGGACACGAATGTGTCGGCTGGTCAAGGTGGTGGTAAGCGCTGAATTTCGATCGGAGTTGCTAACAAACCTCTATTTAAATGGGTTCTCCTTTTGGCCCACAGGAGGTGGTGGCAAGAAGAACCGCCAGAAGGAGCGCCGCCTGATGAAGGGCTTCAATATAGCGCCGCCCGGCTCTACGGGATCGCTGGCTCCGGTGGCCGAGTTCTCCACCTCGCTGGATAACTATGACAACCAGCACGAGATCCTCAGCTCCACACTGTCCACTCTCTTCACGCCGAACTTTATGCACAAGCGCCAGCAGAGTCAAGCCGGGAGTGGAGGCGGGGGATCGGAGTCCCCGACGTCGCCCACTGCTTCCCCAGGCGCTCAAGGGGCGGCCATGATCTCCGGCGGCCAGGTAACCAAGTACAACAAGTCCGCCCTGAAGCCGTACAATAAGCGCATTGCGGGACACAAGAAAAGATGGGGTACGTATTTTCAAAATTTCCGAAAAATGGCTTTGCTGAAAAGTTACCAAAAACCTACAGCCTCAAATCCATAACTTTACTTGCAGACTTCCGATTTTAAAGTTGTATATCTTTAAAGTATTGTTGCTTTCGTCTCTAAAAAACTGCGTTTAAAACTTAATTTGTAATTTCGGGTCGATTTTTCGCAATTTTTATGATGTAACCCCTTTTTAATTGTTGTTTTCACTATTTTAGGCAAACAAGATTTAGTAGTTAGTATTAAGTTTTTATATCTAATTTTGTTTTAAAATTACTTAAACTTATAATTTTCGCTTGCAGGTACCTTAATAGAAGCGGCCAAGGTTGGCAACGTAAGCAAAATGCTGGGCCGTTCGAAATCTGAGGATTCCGTGTGCAACTCATCGCACACAGCGACACCAGTTCACGGTCAAATGCGAGTTACCTATGCTCAGAACTCGCCCCAGCATGGATACGGATACAACGGGGAGACCAGTTCCACGTCAACGTCTACACCAACTCCAACGATTTCGGTAGCCAGCAATTCGCCATCAGCCCACGTGGGAGTGGGCTCGCATTTCTTTCACACAACAAGTGGTAGGTTTCGAATTAATAGTACTTCCACAGATCATCCTAGTGATGTATATATATTGTGTGATGTATATATATTTATTCAGGTCTGACAGCCATTGCTGCCCTCAAGCGCAAACGTAAAAAGTTCTCATCAAGCAAGAATATTTGCCCAGTTACCGAGTCCGTGGCAGCGACAAATGCAGCTGAAATTCTAAATGATAAGGCAAGTTGCATAGATGAAAATTACTTAATTAACTGAAATAATGAAAATAATTTTCTTTCAGACACTGAAGCGTGTGTCCAGCTACCCGGCAGCCGAGGCCGGAGTGCAGCACAAGAATCCGGCCCAATTGGTTAAGCCACGCCGGCACGAGCAAACCCAGAGTCAACACGACTCGGTGGAGACCAACTCGACCTTCACGCTGTCCATCGATCCATCCAATACGTCCGTGAACTCCAGGGAACCGCTGATCAGCACCAGTTGCGTTTCGACCACCGGAGCCATTGGCTGAGGAAGTTTTGCAAGGTTTGGGGGAGGACAGAGAATACCAAAGATAGAGCAGCTAAACTACGTTGATGGCGCACCTGAAGCATACACTTAGATACTATACAGATACACATTGTTGACACTTTTGATATGAAGACATAACCAATGTGGAGCAAAACTAACTAAGGAAGATATACTTAAACCAACACAGCCTAGATCTTAAATTACCTCACCATGTCAAGATATAGAGAACATTCAGCGAATTAGCAGACCCAATCGACACGGGCAACTCGGACACAACTACTTTGCACTACTGAAACGATATTTCCTATACCTCAACCTATCCTATCAACTTTATTTACAAGACTTCCGCTTAAGATCTTCTACCTTTCATCTTACTTTCAAATCAACGATTTTATTCGGCAAGCCGAAGTTTAAATGCCCTAGCCCTATTATGGGCCATAATGACTTTAATCCTAAAGCAGTCGTCCGAATTTAATACAATTAAAAATGTCCCTAAATCATTAATAAAAGAAACATATATGCAAATAAATATTCAAACAGTGTCGCAAAAGCATCTTTGCATCAAGATAATATTCTCCACCTGAACCATGAAGCACACATATCATGCAATCGCTTTATAGAAAAACCTTTTACACCAAAAACAAAATACCAACTCAAAGTCGAGTTGGAAATATAGATCCAACAAGTCCTTTACCAAATACAAATACAAATACGAATACTAAACTATCCCATATCGATGTTGAACGTTGCCTTAGCATGAAACATATTTTTTATACACATAAGTTTTGGATGAACATTAAATTACTGAAACGTACTGTACTCATAATGAGGGAAGCGCTGTGTATTTGTTGATTTGAGAGAATGGATTTTGAAACCAAGGATTTGTTGTTGTTCCAGCAAGCAAGCAAGCATGAATGCAAGAAAGCGAAAAGCAAAGCAAAACAAAAGCAAACGCAAAGCAAAATAAGTAAATAAACCAAAAGATAACACAATTTTATACACCGATTTTAACCAACACAACAAACCATTATCGAATCGCATACTACTAAAGTGTTTGCATTTTATGGATATATATATCCGGACTTAGATGTGCATATCCATAGCCTACACACACGAAGATTTTAGCATATATTAAATATATACATATATATAGAAAAGAACAAATATGAATAATCGACATTTTTAGATGATTTTTTGCGTTGAAGTAGACAAATACCCACACAAAATACACGAACAATATACGAAATATCAACGAAAACAATAACAAGGAATATCATATAGCATTTTATATAAATACATTATATTGGAACAGCAGAAATATGTTGCACAATTGCAACTTGCAACGCATATCTTTGCTGCTGCCAGAAAAATAATTAAAAACAATATAAGGAGGCAAACGAAATACCAAATACAATGTTAGAATAATATAAAAAATTGTTATTTGCACGGAAACATAAATTAATAAAATATATCGAAACGTGTTTTATTTTTTTATTTGAGTGGCTCAAAGTTTATTCTATTTCCGGAGGCTTGCATTAAATTTCCGATATATAAAGCTTAAAAATAATCTTTGAGTACTTACTGTGTTTTGGCCCGCTTTGCAACGATAAAAATAAAAAACATAGTTTTAATATAATAAATATACAAAGAATAAAAACAAACTTTTTATTTTTATTAGGGGTTTTTTCTTTTAACTGGTTGGAGTTTTGATAGTTTTCAAAGTCCATCAAATTTCATACAATAAAGGGTATTTTTGAACATAATCATAAATATATATTTTTTATAAGATAAAAATAACAATAAAAACAAACCAAAAAGCAGAAGAATACATAGTTAGAAATTTAATTTATTTACACACAAGAGCCTCTATGTTGACACTGAAAATATTGTTTGACTATATACATTTGGTTTGTTGAATCCAAATGCTATTCTGTTTAATCTCATCAGATCTTGATTTTGGCACAACCTCAAATAACCACCAACTTGGATATCAACTTAACGGGTGCTTGGGACTATGTCAAAATCGTAGTCTGATGGGAATAAACAGAAGTAATTTCCGTTCTTTATTTATCAACAATAACATACCAACGATGGTTATGTTCAAATCTTCAACATTTTCTTTTTCGCAAATTTTGCATGAAACCTTTATGGGTTCCAGGCAGATTCTCAGGGTCAAGAACGTTCGGTGTGTGTTCTGAAGGATGCACCAACCCAGTGTGGGAAATTCCGCTTAACTGCACTGGGTCAAGTTTTTCATCACCCTAATTAAAACACAGGCGAGGCTGGACAGGATCGAAGGCCAACAGACAGACTTGCCGGATAGACTTTTCCGGATAGACTTTTCCGCAGATCTTCTATGTAGCTTAAATTATTGGTCTGTAACGCTTGTACTTTTATTTTGGTAACCTTTCACTTTAAGTTTCTTGGAGGACTATGTATTTGCCTTTCATACTGGACAGATTCGCCTAAGTTTCATTAGGAGTGAGAAGACGGCACTTAAGTTGAATTTCACACCCTGGATTGTTGATCGTTCAGAAGACAAACAGAACGTGCTCTATCCTGAGAATATGCCTGGGGTCCATAAAGAGTCCATGCAATAAATGCTTAGGAAAATATATTGGAGATTTGGTAATACTTAAAATATTCAATCAAGTATTGATTAATTAAAGTATTGATCGCTATAACATATTGTTGATAGAAAAAAGAGTTAATTAAAAGAAATAAGAAAAGGCGTTTGTTAAAAAATAAATATAGCAGTTTTAGAAAGGATGATACAATGAATGAGTCAACATAAAAACCCTAAAATGTTACGAAAATTTTTTGCTAACGTCTATAAAATACCCTACAAAATTAAACTCACAACTAAAAAAAGGTCCTTTCAGCCTAACGAAAAATCCACAAATACAAACAAAAAATGTATTTTTATTATTTGTATATCGCATTTATTTTAAATGTTTCATATATATATATATTTTGCAAATAAATTTTATAAGTTGTAAACATAGAAACATACATAATTTCCATTTATTTATCATTTGATTCTGATTTAAGTTTATTTATTTATTTATATATATATATATATATATATATAATTTTTTTAATTTGCATCAAGCAAATGTTTATGCTTTACATGAACAAACATTTGTTTTGTTTTGTGTATTTTTTTTTTTTTTTGATTTTTCATAATTTTTTAGATAAGATTCTGTTTTGTATAATTCACATTAAATGCTATGGAAAGAAACAATTACATTTAGTTTAATTTATTTAATTAGAAAAATAATAATAATTGGAATATAAATCACTTTGCCTAGTTGGGGCTGCTATAGCCACATGGGACAGCCTACGAAAAAGTGTCGGGTTGAATTTATTTAGTTGTTTTAGTTGTGAAATGCAACAGTTGGATTGCCAGCGGATATAGCAGCCCCAACTGGGGTTGCCTTGGTTTTCTCGATTTCTGCTTGTCGTATAATATGTTTATAATAAATTGTGTAATAATTCGTATAAAAAGGTTGTGAGAATGAAAGAAGCGTCTGCTGTTTTACATATATCTATGTGTTTGTATATATATATATTTATATTTATATATATATCTGCGTAGATTGGAGCGATCAGGAAAACAATTATACAGCACTGAATACTTGTAGCTAGTAGTCTAATAAATTCATACTTTTCGTTTAATTATTCGTTCTGCATTTGCCCTCCGCCCCTTCCTTTGCGCCCCCTCACCATTCACAATTCGGTTACTTTTTAGCTACTTAGGAGTGTGTCTTTAGTTGGTGCAATTTGTTGACCAGCTATCTACAATCGTTTGTTTGTTTGTTTCTTTCTTTGTTGGTTTGTTTTTTTGGAATACACTTTACAAAAATGGGTCTTGTAAAAAAACTTGGACTTCGGGCGGGGCCAGGCCCCCACATGCTAGTTCTACACGTATTATACACGAATTTTACAAAAACCCGCCGGGGAGGGCAAATGCAAGGGCGCCACACACAAAATAAAAACAGCTTGAGAAGCATTTCGGAACAGGTCTGACAAGTACTGGTGAGCCTTACGGTTCTGCTGACGGCTTACAATTTGTTTGCTGGCTGCTCATTTGTTTATAGCACATATGGAGATTAGACTTTCGTTTTGTGACAACATATATTATTAGTAAATACCATTATTAACATTAAGCTGTGTGAATGTTTGACGTTGTGGTTTTGTTTTGTGTACATTTAATACAATTATTGGGGGCTTGCCTTCTCATCTCATCTCATCTCACCTCATCACATTACATCTCATCTCTTTCTTTTCTCTTTTCGCTATTTTTGATTTCCTTTTCTGCTGTTTTTTTTTTCGTTCGTTTAAAATTAGACAATATACAGTTTTGATTTTGTTTGATTCTGTTACGGTATATATATAAAAAATACATAATTACAACTAACAGTTTAAATCACTTTTTTGAGACATAAAGTGTTTCATTTTTGTTTTTTTTTTAAATCATTTTCGCCTGTCGTTTGCCTACAAGTTCCTATAGTCTCACGTTGGGCGCCACTTATTTAGCCCCTCAACATGTTGACGAGCATGGCGACCAGGAAGGTGCCCACTAGGAAAGAGACCACAATGCAGACGGCCTTCTGTTGGTCACTCAGACGTCGCCGATTGGAGTACAGTGAAGTTAGCTTACCGACGATCCGCCTTAATCCGCCCGCCTGGGCCAAGCTGGAGGAGATGGCCGCCGCCGTTGAGGAGCTGGAACTCGAGGAGCTGACGCCCATTCCGGTGTGCGGATGGTGGGCATGATGCATGTGATGCGAGTGGTGCATGTGGTGCTGATGCTGGTGGTGCGAGTCCGTGGCCCCGGCCATTCCACCGGCTCCGGCTCCGCCGCACGGCTGATGGTGGTGGTGGTGATGATGATGATGGTGATGCATGGGATCTGCGCACGCATTGAAGCCGGACAGCTCCTGCTGCAGTCGTCCGATTGCCACAGGGTCCGCTCCCACGCCGCTCGCTCCACTGATGGCCGACGCACTCACCGATCTCATGTGCAGGCCATTGGTCGAGCCATTGCCGGCCGACAGCTTGCGGCTGCTCCTCTGGCTGGTGGCCACTGCCGCCGTCGTCGCCGGTGGTGCCGTGGAGCCGTGCAGGTGGTGGTGGCACGTCGCCGAGCTGGGGTCCAGCTCACTGGGCACCTGGTAGCGCAACGGACTCGACGGCTGACCGTATAGCAGTTCTCCGCCCGCCGCTATCCGCACGGGACACACGCGGAACTGGTAGCAAGTGCCGGCAGCCAGATTGTCAATGGTGAACTTGGTCTCGGGTCCGCGATACAACTGCCTGTAGTCCTGGTTGGCCAAATTAACTGGAGCGCCGCTGGAGCTGCCGCTGGAACTGTTGCTGCGACCCTTGGGCGACAGCGATTCACCCTCCAAGTCGGCGGCGCCCAAGACCGCATACTGCAGCTCGTACTCCACGCGGTCCTGGAAGGAGTTCTTCGAGTGCTGCCACTCCAGGGTGAGTTGCATGCCCAGTTGGCCGGGCATCTCCATTAGGCAAACACTGCCCTCTTGGACCACTCGTGGTGGCTTGATGTTCGCCGGCAGTGTGGCCGAGGTCTCGAAAACGAAATCCTCCGAGTAATCGCCATCGCCGGCCCTGTCCGTGTGGGCATAGATCCGGAAGGTGTAGCTGCTGCGCTCCTGCAGCTTGTGCACCTTGCACATGCAATTGGTGCCGGAGTAGACGGCCTGGAACTGTTTCGCCCGGGCCACGTACATCTCCACAAAGTACTTGGTGAAGTCGCCGCCGCCGCCATTGCCGTTGTTCCCCGGATTGGAGCCGGCCAGCTTGCCACCGGTCGTTCCGTTCTCGCCCCACTTCAGCTTGATGTAGTTGTGACCGGCGCCGCTGCACTCGAGGCGCGGTGGAGCCGGAGGAGCCGGCTGAGTGGTCAGCTTGGCATAGGCACTAAAGGCTCCGGCTCCGATGGCGTTAACCGCTTGCACACGGAACTTGTAGCCGGTTTCGGGCAGCAGGCCACCCACCGTGTACCGTGTACAGGCATCCGGCGTGGCGATGGTCCGCTCCCCGTACTCAATGTTGTACGAGCAGATGGGCGAGCCGTGGGCCGCCGGCTGCGTCCAGTTGAGGGTCACCTCCTGGGCGGTGAACTCGTAGCCCTGCATTTGCGGAGCCCCGGGCACTGCGGCCGGTGTGCACACACTTATCACGTCGGAGGCGGTTCCCGTGCCGGCCGAGTTGCTCGCCTGGATGCGGAAATGGTAGCGTGTGTAGGGCGAGAGGTTTCTCAGCTCGGCGCAGGTCTGCGCTCCCTGATAGCAGTTGTGGAACTCGGAGCTGGGCGGCTCCTTAATGGCGCCTTGCTCCTGCTCGGCCTCCTCGTCCCGCGTCCTCTCCTGGCTGGCACTCTTCAGGGTGTAACTGGTCACGGGCGCACCGTTCTCCTGCAGCGGCGGCTGCCAACTGACCCCCAGATGGGTGGCCGACTTCACCAGCACGCGCAGCTCTTCGGGCACACCGGGCGCAGCGGCGGCCGCCGTGAATCTCATCCACTGGGACCAGTTGCCGGCGCCAATGCGGTTGATGGCCCGCACCTGGACCTCGTACATGCCGCCCGGTGTCAGGTCCTGGGCCACAAAGTAGGCCTGCTTGCCGCGGTACACCAACTGCGGTGGCTGCACCTGCTCCAGCCGTCGCATCTGCGCCTCGAACTCCAGGATGGGTGCGCCGCCATTGTACTCCGGATGCTGGAGCTTCAGGAGAGCGGCGTAGGGCGAGGGCGGATCACTGCAGTGCGGTGGGGGCGGGGCCGACGGCGCCACCGCCTCTGTGGTAACATGTCCAATGTCGGAGTACGGGCTCTGACCCGCTGGACCTTCGCAAAAGGCCCGCAGGGCGTAGGTGGTGCCCGGCTGGAGACGCTCGCACATGGCCTCCGTCTCGCCGCCGCTGTAGATCCTCTCGAAGGCCGGACCCGCGGCACTCAGCTCCAAGTGGTAGCGAAGGATCTCGGCGCCGCCGGCATCGCCGGGTGCATCCCAGCGGGCCTTAAAGTGGGTGCCATGGATCTTGCCCTTGGCATGCGGCTTCCCAGGTCGGCCAGGACGTTCGGCCAGAGTGCGGTAGCTGACCTCCGGCGACCAGGGCGAGAAGCCCGCCTCGTTCTCGGACCTCAGACGGAACTGATAGCTGCTGGCCCGCCGCAACTGCAGGCACTCCGTTTGCAGTTCCGTACCCTTGTAGGTGTTCAGGTAGCCGTGGCCCGACTCCGCATCCTGCATTTGGAGCAGAAAGTCTCCGTCCTGTGCCCGCCGCTCCCAGCCCAGTTTCAGGGTGTTGGAGCTGCTGGCCAACAGCTGCGGAGGTCTGGGCACTGGCGGCGGATTGCCGGCAGTGCTGTAGCTGGCCACCGGGGAGTAGGGACTCTGACCCGCTTCGTTGACCGCCGCCAAGCGGAAACTGTACACTGTAGTGGGCTGCAGCTTGCCAATGACATAGTGCTTGGCCTTGATCTTGGCCAGTTCCACGAACTTCTGCGGCTGTCCGCCCGCCATCCTTCCCTCGTCGTACTCCAGTAGATAGTGCTGGATGCTGGCTCCGTTCGCGGCCGGAGCAGCCCATCGCAGATTAATGGAGCTCTTAGTGCGGGAAACCAATTTTGGGGGCGGCGGTTGGTCGGGCTTACAGGCTGGGGTGCGAAACTCTGTGGGATCACTGACCGTGCCCTCCAGTTTCTGGTAGTGCACCTGCAAGCGTACTAGGTAATCTTGGCCAGGCTGCAGATCCTGCACTATGCACTCGTAGGCCTCGCCGCGGTACAGACTCTTGTACTTGCACTGCTTCCCGGAATCACAGAGGAGCACTTGGTAGCGCAGCTGCCGCATGTCCACCGTCAAGGCATCCGCTATGGCCGGACTCTCCCAGATGATCTTGGCCGCCCGCGAGGTCACATCTATCACCTCGGGCTTCTCAATGGCTGAGATTTGCTCCACGATGGAGGCCTGGTAGTCCTCCTCATCCTCGCCGGCCAGGCTGGAGTTATCCTCGCCGTCCTCGGAGGTTCCCACGGAACTAGCCCCGCCCACACTGCTGCCCATTCGCTGCGGGTTGCCGTTCCTCGGCTGCGGCACCTGGTGGGTTTGAACCTGGTGCTGCTGCTGCTGCTGTTGCTGCTGCGGCAGGCGACGTCCCTGATGGTTGGCCATGTGCAGGTGGCTGCTGAGGTGGGCGGGCAGGGGCACGCCCAGAGGAATGTTGCTATTATTGTGACCATTCAGTTCGTTGGCACGGCGCGGAGATGGCGAATGCGGGGGATCTGCACGAGAATGGAATTAATTAGTAAAAATTTTGATAGGGTCAGAAATGGATGATTGTGTAATTCGCTCGGCTTAGTGATTTTATATTAAGCACATTAATAGCTTAATTTAGGCCACAAATTGTAGCTAAAATATAAAATTATAGTACAATCAAGTTTATTTTAGAGACACTAAACTGTCAAACAATATTTATATCAATTTAAGCAAACTTTAAGTACAATTTAAATCGGTAAAGTCGACAGGTTTTCTTGTACAACAAAAATATTTTGAGTTTTAAAGGGATTTACTTTATGGCATGGTAATAAAAATAGAAAGACCATATATATGTAACGCATAGACTATATATGTATATATATATATATATATATATATATATATATATATATATATATATATATATATATATATATATATATATATATATATATATATATATATATATATATATATATATATATTTATATAGGTGCTATAATTTTCGTAGTGCCCTCAGGTGATTATTTTTGGAAACTCAATATTCAACCATGGTTTCCCAGGGACAGACTATTTTTTTTAGAGATCAACTTATAATTTTATACAAGTTCTAGCGACTAAGTGAGTATAGCTCTCTTGTAGTCTTTTTTCTATTAATTGTTAAAGTTTTATACCATAAAGGCCAAGCGAACTAAGTAAGTAGGATCCTTTTGGAATCGGGATACTTACTGGACTCCCGCTGCTTTTCCAGCTTCCTGAGCAGCTTGTTGTGCTGCCGCTGGCTCCGCTCATCCCGGTAGTTGGGCGGCGACGGGGAGTGCGGGGAATGTGGGTGTGGCTGGGAGTGTGTGTGCGAGTGGGCGTGTGAGTGGGTGTGCGAGTGGGCGTGCGAGTGGCTGGCTGCTCCAGTGGGTGGTGCTGTTTGCTGGGATGCTGCCTGACCTCCTCCACTTGCATTTGGTGCCACCTGCTGCTGCTGCTGTTGTTGTTGTTGTTGTGGAGGGGGTGCTCCTTGGGGCGCCTGCTGCTGTGGTTGTTGTTGCTGCTGCTGTTGCGGCGGCGGTGGTGGTGCCGGCAAGTGATAGTGAGGTGGCCCATTGCCAGCAGGTCCTGGGCCAGGATAACCCGCCACTGGGGTGTAGAAATGCGAAGTGCCATTTGCGCTTATCTGTAAAAAAAACAATTGAAATTACATTAAATAATTCTGTAAAACATTAGGATAAGTTTTAAGCAATTACTTTAATAAGCAACGTTTTTCCCGATTTCTTTGGCACCTCCATTTCCGTTTCATTGAGAGAATATATTTTTAAAAATACCACGTCAACATTTAACACGCTGGCTAAAAATATCTCGCCACCAAAACCACGCCGACTAAAAAAACTAACTGATAGCAACTAATTGATTTTCGCATTCTTATCTCTCACAGAATTGACCTCGAAAATGGCCACGTTTCTTTCGCGCAATCAATTCCTTTGGCTTTTTCTTTAGCTGCATTGATTTAGTTTAGGAACAAGTTAACCCGAGTAAGTTTAAATAACAACTGAAACGTTTGCAATGTTTTCTTTAAGAATAAATTTAAGTAAATGATTAGAATGGACTAAATAATACCTTTGGTATTTTAAAACAAACAGAATCGCAGACGCAATCCTTGGTTTGGAATTACGGTTTAAATTTAGCTTTGACTTAAACCATTTTGATGACTAACAGTATTTTTAGAGTGAACCAAAAAACACTCAAGTGTCGTAACTATCAGCTTTGATTACGAAAGGCCTGGGCGCAAGAATTTAAAATATGTTTAGTTTTATTTATATTTCAATTTTTTAAATGTTTAAATAGTTAAATTCCTCTCTAATAATTTATTTTTAAATAAAACCAATATTAGTGCTAGTAACTTATTCAAAAACATTTTTAAATGCCAATATTTCTTAAAACTGTTTGATCAACATGCAAGTGCCATTATTAAACAAACCTCAAAGAAGAAGTATTAAGTATTAATTATTATTTTAAGTGTCAAAGCTGGCGCCTTGTGCCATTCTTAAAGATATTTATTAGCGGCACAGGTTTGATAATGTTTGAGCCGAATTTCCGACTCAAACGATTCGCCAGCAAGTCATAAAATAAATTGCTTTTGCGGTATATGGGCAATGGGCAATTAGCCACGCCCGCATGCTACATATATTAACTAAAAATTGCTTAAGTGGCCTATCTGATGATTGATAATTTGGCTCACCAATTCCTGCAAAACTGTTGCAAATGACTTTCGCTAAATTACACTAATTTCACGTTTTTACATTTTCAAAGTTGGCCTTATATGTTGTGCAATTTAAAACGTTTTATTCCACGGTTCTTTTGCGATGGTCATAAACTATGAAAAGCCAAAAATATGGGTCAAAGTTAATGAGTTTTTAGCGGTTTATGCTTGAAACAACATAAATAATAAAGGAGAACAAAAGAAGACGGATTAACAAATGGAAAATAAAAAAAAAACACAAAGAAGATTATAACTTGTTCTGCGAGGGAGTTTTGGTTTCGCTTTCGTTTTTAATGGTGCGACAGATACCGTTATTTCGAGTGCTCGACTCAAGTTGCATAACTATGCAAATTAGCATACAATCAAATTATAAACATTTCAACATAAACACACAAGCGGAAGCTGCCATTTGTAAGGTGATGTGTGCAGATTTCAATGTGTTTCAGCCAGGGGCTTACACTAAATGGGGTTTTGTGGGGGATACTATTTTGTTAGCTTTAACTTAAATCATTACCAAATTTCAAAATAAGCTTAAATTTTATATCTTTAGGCCAGCTCTCATAAATTTTATAAATCTAAAAATATATTGTACCGAAGTGATTAGTGTCACGTTCTTCAACAAAGCTTAAAACTCAATTTCGTTCTGAAATTTAAAAGTTTTTTAAATTTTAAATCTATTCTTTGTAAGACAGTTTAAAGGTTTATTTTGTTTTTTGGTCAACCTAAGCTTGAAAAACCCCACTGAAAATTGTCTTAACTCTTGCCGTGTGGACTCGAGTGTGTGTTTCTGTTGTATGGTGGCAGCAAATTGTTAATTAAGTCAAGGAAAATTCAGCCTCAGTCAGTCAAGTCGGAATGGCGGAGTCAGTCGAGCAGCCACCGCCGGCACTTTCATTTCAGCAACAAAGCGTGACGAAGCCACATGTGTCCAAGCTGGAATCCGAGGCGGATGAAGTTGTTGGCGCTGCATTAAATCAAGTTTTCCACTGCAAAAACGGCTTTAGGAATGGCGGGTTATGTAAAAATGTGACAGCAAAGTTCAGCTCAAGTGGAGTTCAATTAAAAGTCATGAGCAGCAATGTTGCCAGCAGCGGGCACGACAAGCCAGCAACATTTAATGGCTTGCACTAACAAACTTTAGGTAAAACAACAGCTATCCTCTACAAATTGTTATGCAAATGAAGGGAGTTAAGTCAGCCTAAACGGCTATATTTTTAGGCTGACAGTTTAGCAGCTGAAAAAATGGTTTAAAGCTTTTCACTTCATTTAAATACTTCAAAATTAAAAACGAAAACATTTTTCAAAAACAAAAATTTTTGCAGCTATACAAAAGTCAATATTGCAGCATAGCCCTATGTTCATATTTTCAGCTTATTAAAAACTTTAAACTCTAAGAAATTGCTCCATTATTAAGAAATAATAATTAAAATATTTGGCACATACAACATTTTTTGGTCTCATAAGCTTTAAAATTAATTGAACGTTTATTTAATAGATCAAAATATTTAAAGCCCGTTAAGTTAGTTTATTTACCTACAGTATTCAAAAAAATCAGCTTCAAAGTTTCAGTAAGTTTAAAGCTCCAGGAAAGCGCGTAATCAATTGAATTATACAAATCACAATGCAATAATTTCGGATTTTAATTGAGATATTGATAATAATACAATAAATAACAGCGAGTGGTGGGGCTAAACGGCAGGGGGTAGTTGGCCAATAGAATTTAAATTGCGCTAGGCGCTAGTCCAGAACCGGATTGATAGTCTGGGCCAGGCCAAGTCACGAACTTGGGCCTTTCGAGCCATCCCCCGCTCTTTGGTTAACGATTTCCCGCTATGAAAATGAAAATATTTCAATTTCGCCTCGAATTTTGTGAACAATTTCTGCACATAAAAGAGATGATGGGAATGTTTATGCTGTACAATGCAATTGTTATTATTAAATTATTAGACATAAGTGGCGACGGGAGCAACAGATGGGGGCTTAAAACGTGATGTGAATGGGTAACGCTCATCTGCTTTGGTTAACAAGAGTTTCTTTTCGTTCGTTGCCATTTTGCAAATTAGCGAGGCAATTTAAATGGAATGCGGCCACGACTATGAACTTGGTCATCACCATGGGAGCGAACTAGTTCCGCATGTTAAGGGGCCTAAAAATGCGAAAATATATCCAAATGACTGCAATTTGTACCAGTCAAATTAAATAAAATTTAAATATTATTAAAGTATGGTCGGAAATAACAAATATAATTATTTGGAAAGTGAGTAAGATCAGCAAGAGCCCAAGCAAGATTTAAATTATTTTATACTTTAAAAATTATTTGCTTTTGTTATAATTTTTTAAAAAAAAAAATGAACACTGAATCCTAGACCACCATCCATCAGAAAAAAAACAGATTTGATATATGACATACAATTTTAATTGTCTGTACGTGCAAGTGTTTTATCACTCTATAAAAATATATTTTAATAGTTGGGAATTTCCATCCAGTCATTTTACTATAATTTTAAAAGCCATCACTTGAAAGGTATAATTCCTGAATTAATAATTTGTATAAGAAAAATAAATAAAAAAAATTAAATACAAACTAAGTGATAAACTCAATAAAGGAAATTTTTAAAATAAACTTTTATCAGTTCAGAGTAAAAAAAAACACTTAAATAGAACACTATAAGTTACTTGGCGATGAACCGCATTTTCCCCCGTCTCAGTTGGCAAACACAACTAACTGGTTAATTAGCATTCTGGACAGATGTCTTCGCAGAACGATTGTCAAAGCTCACGCCTAAATGACAGCTCGCGAAATGCAATGAAACAAATTCAGACGGCAAATAAGCCACCTCCAGAATGCATTTGCTATTCAAATATTGGCGCACAGTGAGTCAGAAATTAAGCAATTCAAATGGGACTTTGGAGTTGTGCGAAATGGACTAATTGGTTATGCAATTTTCACACTTTTCCGCCCCTCGCGAATTTCCCGGGATCAGGAGAAAGGCAGGCAAATAAAACGATATTGCAGTTGAAAAACTAAACTTAAGCCAACCGATAAATAAATAAATTATGAATGCAAAAGCGCCGACAGCTGGCCAGCTGTTTTTCCGGTTTGTTTTTGTTTAAACTTTACTTTAATTGTTGTTATTGTTTAGGTAAAAGTTTACCCATTTTAGCCATTGTTTCAGGCCGGTTCAGTTTCATAATGCATTAGCACGAGTCTGGTTGCAATTGAATAGTTTTCAGTTTTCCTGGAACAGCTTCACCCGGATCCAACCCGGTTTGTTTGCCGCATACGGCGACATTTGGTCAATAAATTATATTTACAGACGCCCCCAATGGAAGTTTCGTTCGAAAATCGAATAAGCATCGGGTATTATTGCTGCTGATTGCTGGTTGTTCGCTCAATTAGCTGTCAATTAATTGATAAGTGGAGGAAGTCCCGCCAATCGGATGGAAATGAGATACACTCTTTCCTTTCCGATAGGGCTATGGCTTTATCAATTCAATTGCCGTTTGTTTGCTATTTTCCGATTCACTTTGAAGTGTACATCAGTATCAATTAATCAATTTACAGGAAGTTTCGATGCATATTTTCATTTTGATTTTTTTGACCGATCAACTGAAAGTAATTTTCATAAAACTATGCCTAACAATGTTAAAAACTAAGTAATTGTTTAAATGTTAGTTTTATACAAATTTCGGTCTTCTCTTAGTTTATAAAAATTGGTTTCATATTTAAAAAAGCCCTGAAGCTCCGAACAAAAAATTTATTCATTTACACTGCTATGAAAACAGTATTTTATTAAGCTTTAAGCTTAGAAATACTCAAAACAATGGGAAGATTCTGCTAAGACTTTGAACAATAATAAAGGTCACTTACGAAGGGCGCCGGATGGAGATGTCCCTGTCCGGGATGCAGTTGCTGGTACTGCTGCGGCGAGAGCATCACGTGGGTCAGCGTTCCGTTCTCGTTGACGTACTGCGGCACCTGGACGGGCACCGGCATCGGGGGCGGTGGTCGGTTCTGGGACACCATCTGAACGGCGGGACCTGCAAGTAACGAGCGAAATGGGGGACAAATTACTTAAGATTCTCTACCAACCGGCAATATGCTGATGATGTGTGCTAGTGCGAGTATCTCGCAGATACAATATAGTACACACACACACACACACATATATATATTTATATATAAATATATAGTCATGTATGAGGGCACAAGTTAAAGCAGGCGACAGCTGGCGCCAGCGAGGCGACAGCGAGACACGCGGGCGCAGGGACAAAGGGGTGGTGGGAAAGAGGAGGGGGGGAACGCCAGGACATTGCCAGGACAGCCATTGCTGCTTTATGTCAGCGGCGATTTCTCTGTGTTTGTTTATTGGATATCTCTCTAGCATTCTTTCAGTCTTTTTGTGGATGTGTGTAAATGTGTTCCACAGCAAAGAACTCAGTTGTTATCTCTGAGTAGATATTTTCTTCCTTTATCAGTAGATATTTAGAAATATTTTACTAGAAAATTTAAATATTTTTTATCCGGCACTTTAGAAACGCGAGCTTAATATAAACATTAAAACTTTAATACGGCAGAAAGAAAAAACGTACATAAATTTTTACAGGTTGTGCATATAAACCATTACTTTAAACAGTTGGTAACATTTTTTAATGTAATATTTCTGTATTAGAGTTTTAATTAAGTTTAAATATTTTAGTGGCAAGAACTTAAATTGTAAATTGGACTTTATAAAGTCTTAAAATTTGCTCCAAAAATTCATAATCTTGAAAGTAAAATAGCAGTATTAAATAAGCAGTACATTAAAATTATATATATTTTTTTCTCTCACATTCAAACTTTATTCTCACAGTGCATACATTTGAATATGTATGTTTGTGTTTGCTGCAGCCAACAAAATGCTTGACAGAGTCTGCCAATTTCTGGCTCCCTTGTCGCCTCGAACTACTCAACTACGATACGCATACGCACCGTTGCCCAATTCCGATTTCATTTGCAATTTAAGTCTGCCCGATGATTAATATCCAACCGGCCCTTCCCCGCTCCGCTCCTGTCATAGGCACTGCACTGCCCCCGTCCACTCGATAGTTGGCTTTAATAAATGTGTTGGAAACATAGAAATCTCTAGAGCAAACAATTCTTGGCAGCCTCATTTCGTGGAGAGAAAAATCGAGAAACGGCGAGCGACCTAGAGGGGTGAATAAACGAAGTTTTCGGGATTCTTGGCAGGGCATCGGATTCGGAATCAGAATCATAGCCTCAGCATTGTCTGGATCTGTTTCGGGCTCTGGTTTCGCCACTGTCATTAGGACGAGGGATTGGGCCGGGGGATAATACTAATACTAATACTAAAACTTCCATTTCCACTACCATTTCCATTTCCATTCCATTCCATCTGGGGATCCATTTGAACTGCAACGTTGTCGCATGTCATTGCCACAGAATAGATGACAGCAGACCGCCCCGAAAGTTGCCCCCTCAAACAATTCAGATATATTTTGATTTGTGGATTTGTATTGCTTTTCAATTCTATTTCTCCTCTGCTTGCCTCCATCTTTTTTGGCTGCATTGCGACGAAGAAAATAATGGAAGAAGCTAAAGATTGGGAATGAGCAAACATTTGTTAACGGACGATGTCTGGTCGAGATTAGCGCATAATTCGGTTTGATAAATGATAAGGCGGCACTGAATGGCTTGTTTGATAAAACCGTTATTGAGGCGGAATAATTGAATTATTATTGTAATATATTGAAAATAGCTTGGAAGTTTAAAATATACAAAATATAAATGTTTTAACGAAGGTTGCACCAATAAATATTAAATATTTGCCTCACTTAACACCGCTTTCTTTAATTCCCACGCTTCACCATACCCATAAATATTTAAAATCAAGCCGAAAAAAAAAACGATTCAGAAATCCATGTTCATCATAAAATGCATTCCATGTTTGCACATCAATATGGATGGGTTAAAATGCGATTCCCAGCTGCAGCGTTGAACTTTGAATGCCCAGGCACGTAGAAGGAACGTGGCCACGCCCACTTGTGGCCCCTTTTCACATTTCCCCACTTCTATATTTTTTTTGTTTTGCAGAATTGTCCGTGCCTTTTAGTTTTTTTTTTGTTTGCGCCTTCTGTTCAGTTTGGCTGGCTAAACAATGCAGAGTTGCATTTTTTATGTACACCACGCGGCGTATGCGTAATGCCGGCTAATGGATTGCGGGGTGGTTATCGTGTGGTCGCATGTGGGAGGGAATTCCCCCGCTTTCGCTTTAATAGTTAAACTGTAAACTTAACGGTAATGCGGCTGCTAATACGCTTAGCCATGTCTCGCACTCATTGAGGCCGAAAATGCTGGGCCCCGCCGTTCGATCAAGCGTTAAATGCCATCCGCCGGCAGAAATGACTAGACTAGTCCGCAGTCCATTTGTCCGGAGTCTCTTGATCTGCTCTTAGGTGTAAAAATGTTGGTTTAGTGCGCTGACGCATAATGCGACAGAAAACCGATGATGGCTGATAAACTGAAACCAAGAGTTTTCCCCCTTTTTGTGCACCACCCAATGCAGTTAATCATTCGGTGAGTGAAGGTGGAGGCGGAGGTCTTTTTCACCGGGAGGAAATGGAGGTCTTTAAGGGCCGGAGAAGATAGTCTGGCCAGGAAATGCACACCGTTCAAAGAGCGAGATAGTTGGCAAGTGAATTTCCCCTCAAGTGTTAAAAGGCAGCAATTAGTTAGGCGAAAGAGGGTTGGCCACTGGCGGGGTATAGCTTATCACTTGGCCAGCAGACAGACAGTTAAATTAAGTACTAAACTTCAGCGACTAAATCTCCCCGGTGTTTCCCCGCGAGTGTCTGCAACTTCTTCTCAAACTTAATTAATGCTAAACTGCTTAAGAAGCGATTTGGGGTTGGGACTCTCGACGAGGAGCTTTCGCCAAGGAAAGTGTAAGTTGGTTAAAAGTTAAATAAGGTGTTTAGAAGACTAAAAATTATCTGGGGAATTTAAATATTTTCGGATTCATGGAGTTTAGCAGAAAATTAGTTTAAATCTTTTAAACTAGTTCTAAAATTATATTTATTTAGATAATATTGACTATATTGTCACTAATAAATATTTTTAAAATCTTTTAACAAATATGATCTTAGTCTTTATACATAGTTTTATATACATTTATCTATAATCTATACTTTTGTCAATTGTAAATATGAAGAGTTCGAATGGACCTCATCATATTTCCTACCTTAAAACCCCAACTCTCGTTAGATCATCTTACACTTTAATTTTCTGCCCTGATGGGTTGACCTTGTCGTCTGCGCCCCTTAACCCCCTTCTGGGCCCTTTAACACCACCCATTGCGTTGGCAGACAGTGTCAAAATAAAGTTGCGGCTCAAACGCGTTTGGGCTAATTGCAAATTGTTATTGCTTTCCTGTTGTTACGCATTGTTGAACCACTTGGCTTCCCATTCTCCTGCTCACAGTCTGTCATTTGTTCAGTTAGTCAGCGGTCGGGGTCAGGGGTCAAGGCTTTTGTCTGGCTGTTTCGATTGTCGGCAGCACGCACACGCAAAGCACGCACCAAATGTCTATAAAATTAATAACAATTCGGTTAGCCAAAAGCAAAACTTTGATTGAGGAAATTCAAGTAGACATTGCCTCGGATTGAATATGTTGCTTGATATGTTGAAGTGAGTTATTGTCGAGGAATTTATCTTATTATATAAATATTTTATAAATTATTCTCATCCACGTTTTGCTTTTGATGAATGCCCAGGGAGTTGAATAAACTTTCGATTGTCTTGAGCTTGATTTATGATTCTTTTGGATTGGAGGATATGCAAATGATTTCTCGGGGGGTGTCAATTTGATATTATAATATTGATTGGAAAAGCCAATTCCCCGGGGGCTTGCCTTTTCTCACTTTGATGTTCTCGATAATTACCCACCAAATCTGGACCAATTTGCGGTTAGCTGGCTCATTATAATCAACACTTTTCCTCACTTATCTCACTTTTCCATCTGAAGGTAATTGCGTGTCTCCCTATTTCTCCAATTCTCAGTTTCCCTTTGAGTCCCTCTCTTCCCCCTAACTTATCTCCAATTAACGATGCGTGCGCAATTATCTCGATAATTATGATGAAACAAAATACAGCAAAAAAACAAGACTCTAAATAGCTTTCGCAAAATGCAATTAGAGCAGAACGTTCACGAATTCCATCATGGAAAGCTCGTTGAAAAAATTTCTTAAAGAGTTCTCTTCATTTAGCCAGCGACATTGCATTAATTGCGCATACGCCCTGTTAAACGATTGCCTACAAATCGAAGGCAACAAAATGCTCTAAGACTCATTGATTGATGGCTTGTCGAGGGGACGGAAAAGCCAGAGAAAAAGGAGGAAAATGGGAAATGCTTTTTTTCAGGGAACGTGGTTCGGGAGATGGGGTGGCGCCACCCAGCTTCATTTGCCAGTCTGCACGTGTCGCACGTTTGTTTCGACGATTCACTGAGCGAACAATTGTGCTGTTGTTCTTTTATATATTATAAATAAATAAAAAAAGAGGTTTACGTTTTCAAATATTTTAAAGGTTTTCATATTATTAAAAGTTTTTTTGTTTTCGAATTGCAAATGTCTTTGTTTATAATTTAATTCTATGAATAAGTTCTTCAATTATACTGTTAATATTTTTTTTTACTTCTTTTCACACTGCAGTTTTTCAGTGTCCTGGCTGCTGTTTGTTTATTTGAATTTCCAATATCTTGACGAGGCAAACACACAGCCTCTGTACAATTTTTCCCCCACCGTGATGCAAATATTGGCTTTTTGTATGTCACCTAAGTGAAGTCCTCATAGACAACGACAAAATGGCTCAACAAAAAAAAAGGAAACAGGAAACGCGTTGAAACAGCCGTGAAATTTTCGTGTCAGCAGTCAGGGGAAAAGTGGGTGCCAGCTGTGACCGCCGCAGCAACACCCACGCATTCACATCCATTTGCCAGCGGATATACATATTATGTCTGCATATATATGTATATATAGAGCCC